TTCCAGCACCTGCCAGCTCCCGGCAAGGGGTCCATGTGCTTGCTTGTGTGCCAGGAGCCTTCCCTGGAGAAGCCACGGCGGCCCCAGGGTGTTAAAAACCAAAAATATCAAAATGAAGAAAGAAGCAGCTGCTTCCACTGACGAGGCTGGTTGGCCGCCATGTCTCCCTCGGCCCTGACATGATGCTCGGGCGCTCCCCAGTCACCCAGCTTCGGGGCAGGGGGTGGGTTGTCTTGTTTTAAAAAGAGCAGCATTTGGTTTGACTGTAAAGAGATGCGAGGCGGTCGTCCCCGCCACCTGGTCAGTTGCTGATTGTGTTTACAAATCCTTTCTCAGCTGGGTTTCTTAATAATAATTAAAAAAAAAAAAAAAAAGAGGCAAAAAGTCTCCTTTAGCTCTGAACCTGATTGGCTGCTGGAGGCACCAAATATCGCCGGGGGTGGCTCCATCGGTGGCGTGGGGCCATGCTGCCCACCCGGCGCTCATCGCCTGAGGCCGCCGGGGAGACCCTCGCCATCTGCCCCCATGGGCAGCTGAAAAAAAAGGAGCCGGAGGAGGCGCAGCCCTCAGTTCCCCCGGTAAACCTCGATCTTGCTGGTTTTGGCCAGCATGTCGATGATGTGCGCCTCGAAGTCGGCATCGTGCACCCCCGTCTTCCTGAACTCCCCGGCGTAGCGGTTGTTCTCCCAGTAGTGGTGCCAGTTGCCCCGGCTGTCAGCGCCGAACCCGAAGACGTTCACCTGCGGCGGCGAGGAGCGGGGTGAGCCAGCCCTGACCGCCCTGCCGGGCTGGGGACCCCCCTCGGCCAAGCATCCACCGCGCTGCCGAGGGAGATTTCACACCATGCCGAAGGCGTACATCCCTCTGCACAGCCTTCCTGCCATTCAAAGGTGCCCATCACCGTGGTGTTAGGCAACCAGAGCAAGTGAAACTGCCAAGGTTGGCCCCAAAGAACCTGTCTCCCTCCTTAACTCTGCAAGGTTCAGGATCCCAGCAAACCCGCCCTGTGCTAGCCAGGACCCTGCAGCTCATTGAGACCCCACAGCCCAGAGGAGGACCCTGAGGAGCCATCACCCACCTCATCGCAGACGTGGAGGGCGAAGAAGAGCACCAGCATGCCGGTGGAGGGGTAGCGCCCATGATGCTCTGTCCAGCGGTCGTGGATGTACTTGAAGAAGGCAGGGTTGTAGATCTGCACCTGGGAGGATGGGCTGGGGTCAGCGCCGGAGCCCCAGCAGCACTCCCTTCGGCATTGGCACCCCAGGAAGGAGCACCCAGATGTGCACAGGGACCCCAGGAGAAGATGAGGTGATGGGGGCCGTGGCCAAACGGATGCTCATCGCAGTGGTTGGGACGAGCCCCCTTACCTTTTCTTTGTCCACCCGCAGAAAAGGCTTCACAGGTGCATACGTGCTGGGAAAAAAGCAGAGAAGCAGGTGAGTTCCCAGGGGTCCCGTGTCCCCCAGCCCAAGCTGCCAAGGGACCAGTGGTGCTGGGATGCTCTGGGAGGGAGGAACTGATGAATCCCCACCGCTCCCAGGGGAGCTGCCCCCATGGCAGGCGAGTGGCCAGCCCAGTGCCACTGGTGCCCGCTGGGTACTTACAACCTGATCTGGCCGGTGGAGAGGGCACTGGCGATCCAGAGCAGGTCCAGGGTTTTGAAGGGCACCAGCACGAAGCTGACGTTGGCGGGCAGGTTCTTGGCACTCTCAGGGTACATGAAGTGGTGCGTGGTCCGACTGCCCACGTCGCCCTCGAAACCCACTGTAGGGGCCTGGTTCATCCTGGGGAGAGAGCAGGGAAGGTGGCACCCCCTCCTAGCCACCCTGTCCCTTGCAGATGACACGGGTGTTCCCTGTGAGCTGCTAAGGAGCAGTTTCCCAGCCTGCTGATGCTCAGGGTGCTGGGATGAGCGGAGGGTCCCCCCAGCCAGCCCAGGTGTGAGCTGGACCTGCTCCCACCCATCCCAGTACCCAGCAGGACCCATGATGGGCTCCTTGACAGAGCAACCCGAGCTGGGCTGTGGCCAAGGCGTAGAGCACAGGGAAAACCCCCCTGGCATCTCCAGCAGACCTGGAGAGATGCTGCTGTGGAGCACAGCGGGCACTCGGCACCCACCGGTGCTGCCAGCATCACCCTGCGCCTCTGAGCTGCCCCTGGGGCTGAGCAGGCAGGCAGTGCCCCTGGCAGCGGTCCCCTGCCCTCACCGCATGACAAAGTCGTGCCCATCGATCTCCGTCCCGTAACTGGAGCCACGCAGGTTGCCTGAGTTGCCGACCACGGCACAGCGGCGGCAGTGGCGCAGGTCGCGAGAGCCGTAGGGATCCTCGCCTGGCACGATCTGGAAGAGCTTGCTCAGGACCTCATGGGTGTTGTGGGACTGAAACTGAGGCTGCAGCATCTGCGGGGGGAGGAGGAGGGGGGGGGGGGCATCAGCCAGAAGCCCACTCCTCACCGGCAGAGAAAGCTGTGCCCCTGCTGTGCTGGAGCACATCATGGTGCTCCCCTGGGGCCGGGGGACCCTCGGGGGAGCCTGTCCCCTTGCTCACCATCCACCACCTCTGGACATCAGGCGGCAGTTCCATGTTCTCCTTGGTCCACACTGGGGAGATGGTGCTGTCGTAGCGCCCGTCAAACCAGTCAGCAGCCCCAGCCTCCTCGGCCGGGCAGCGGTGGCAGGCACAGCCCCGGGGGTACGGCCCCCCCTTGCTGAGCCGCTGCATGCCAGCATAGCCGGGCACCAACTTCACCCGGTGGATGCCGCCCAGCCCGCCGGGGTCCAGGTAGGCGATGCTGTGGTGGGAGTAGGTGAAGAGGAGGGACATGACGAAGACGAGCAGGAAGGCGGTCGAGAGGAAGCAGAAGCGCAAC